TCTCCCCCCCCTCTAATTGTTGGTCATGCTCAGCTATCTATGATAGCAAGTGGCATTGCGATAACCAAGATCGTCCATTTGCAAATATGGCATTCGAGAAGGCATTGTGCAAGGGGCTTGGAGGAAAACGCTGCGGCAACTTCACGGCGACGATTATTCATGTGGCGACACTGCTTCACGTGGTAAGCCTCATTTCAACTATCATATTGATTTGTAACAACATATTAACCCTTGTAAACTGATCCATCACTTTGTACGGTGGCAGATTGAGTGGCCCATGGCCAATGCCAATGGCCGGGCCACTCCGGCATTGGAGGGCAATGATGCCTCCAACAGGAGAGAGATTGCCCGCAAAGTCACGCTGGTGATAGGGTGGATCAGAGAGCGCCTGGTTGTTGAGCCAACGCTTTATCACCCGCAGCCACCTGCGTTTTTCAGGATGGGCAGCAGAGCCGTTAGCATTCTAGTCGCGGGCTATGAGGAGGATTTTGCTGGCCTGATTTAAGTTGGCCAACCATGGCTAGTTACTGTAGATCATGACCCTGAGGTTGCCGACCATGGCTAGAGGGGGGATGGGCGGGGATTTAATTTCATTGCAACAATAATTCGTAGGAAGTACCCTTAATGGTTTTTGTAGTAGCATGCTATAAGATTCTGAGTAATAATCATTTTATAGCCATTATGAGGAGTTTTCAACCAGCATGTGAATTTGAAATTACAAAGCGTTCCAATAACCAGACGTTCATAATCGTTTTATGGCATTCGCCCATTGAAAACAACATCGGGAAACAGCCATTCACGACCTGAAATACCCTCAGAAGAACCGGTATTCCAATGGCCATTTACATGCTACATGTTTATGGCGTCAAAATGGCCGTTTACAGGACTACTCCCCTTTCAGGTAGGGGGCATTTATGCCCCTTATAGGACCGTATGTAGCGATACATGACCCCTTGGTAAACGACCCCGATTGGCCTAAACCCACAACCATTAACGACCGGTATTTTAATGCCCACAGTAGGGTTAAAAATGACCCCTATTTTGTCGAAAATGGCCATTCTGAGACTCGACATTTTTGAGATGTTGAAATGCAACCAGGTTTTTCTAACGATACGACTTCTTGCCATAGTATATTAAAGCCTGGAAAACTGCTACAGGTTTACCGGTCTGTCCGCGTTGAGGTACCACGGTGCGGATGACATGTACTGCGGGATGTGCGGATTAATCTCCTTGCCGTCTTCATCCACTTCAGCCGGCACCAGCCCCGCCTTCCGCGCTTCCTCCAACTCCTTGGCCTTCTTATGGTCCTCTCGCGGCTTGAAACCCACTGCTGACGTCGCCATGATGACAGCACTGGCCGCGTCTGGTTTGAATACTGCTAGGCGGGTGTTACAAAGGGTTCGACGTACCGTACGTTGGAGATGTAAGGAACAGTCGGAATGAATGTGTCTTCTGATGGATCTAACCTATCAGTCACGTTGTCTAAAGTATTACTATTAGCGTGAAAAGGTCTATACCTAATCGTCCGGCCCGCTGCTCCGTTTCATCGACTCGAGAATGTACTGATTCAGCAAGAACGTCAGAAACCAATTTTTTATTATATTATTTTCTTCCCACAGATTGCGTTGCTTTTGTCTAGAAACCACCTCGCCTCGAGAATGCCACAAAGGGCTCGTCTGGTTTGCGATATGAGAAGGTTGGAGATGAGTTGGCGGGAGAGCGATATTCCTGCCCCTCAAATTGTCGGGCAGCAAATGTGTGCGGGAGGAGCGACCACAGCCACACAATGCTGTTGTGGTAAGGACGCGGTCAGTAAAAAGGGTACTCTCTGCAATGCGATTGGCTGAAAGCACTCTTAGGGATGCCCTCGCACATTCGAGAAGCCACGATGGCGATCTGCGACTCGCGTTTGGCATTTGAGCATTTGTACCCGTCTTCGGTCCAACAGAGCGCTCTATTGAAGATCAAAGAATGAAAGTATCATCCGCTAAATATCAACAGGAAATGAAGTCAAAGGATGTAGACCTTTTAATGTTTTTTCAATACAGGTTGCAATGAAATATTTATATGGTAAATTTTAAAAATAGAAATTTAGCGTTACTACCCATTCACTGAAGGACCAATATATGCAAATGCAACCATAATTTGCCAAGAAATAGACGTTGTAAGGAAAATCACGGTGTTTTGCCTCATTTAAAAAAGAGGCTGCTAGGAGTAGGTACTGGGTACTCATACCGTATTCCCCCGTATATAACACCCTAGGGTATTGTCAAAATTTCATAAAAAAAACGTATGGGTGTTAACAGTAGGCTGGAAAAGTAAAACACCCATGTCTTATGTAAAATGCAAAATGAATTTGGGTTGTAACACGCACTCTGAGGCCTAAACTTCACCGGGCATCTGCTAACGAGGAATCTGCTACAGAGATTGCGTACTCTGACAGGGTCAGTTTAGTGCCTTTGAAAACGGTGGGAGATTGATGCTGCAGTAGTGCCAGGTGTCATTGACCAATCTCGTAAGAGTGCTGTGAACAGAGTCACGACCATGCTGACGCGATCGAGGTGGTTCAACAGCAAGATGGACGGTCGAGATCCTCTCGACACTTTTTGTCTTTCGATTTCATGTTGCCACTTGTATTGATTCTTCTGCCCGTCTTTGCGCTACGAATGGCAGCTGACGCGATTTTAATCGTGTTCGTATTTTTGCAGCTGAGCGAACCTTGATAATGAAGGACAGAATACTATTTAAAGGCAAGAAAAACGCGCAGGGTGTTATGTAAAATGCAAACCCAGAAAAGCGGGTACTCTCAAAAATGCGTCATATCATAAGCTATCCCCCGCATAAGCCACCCGTGGGCTGACTATTTCGGCGGGTCTTATATACAGGGGATTACGGTAAGAGGGTGAGTTTGTTGTTGTAAGTCAATTAAATATCACAAATGTTTTTTGTAATAAGGTAGCACACCAAACTGTAACAAATCGGCGGGCACCCTTCCACCCTGACGCAATTGGCGTATTTTGGTTTGAAATGTATGGGTTGAGGGAATTGCGGGCGCTTCGGGTGGGGAAAGTCTGGACTACAGCACCCTTCCGAGAAATTTACTGTCGCGGACTGTCTATGAAAAGTTTCATACTTACGTGGACAGGCCCTACTTTCATGGACACAACACCGAAGTTTTGCTTCTCCCGTGGACTCCATCAATACTTTCGTGGACTCCAGGCTTACTTCCATGGACACACGCGAATTTGAATTTGAAAAAAAAATATACAGAACTGTACAGATGCTGACGGGAGAAATAACAAAACAAAATTATGCGTAATCAAGTCCGTCGCAAATAGTCGCAAGCTACAAAAATTGATGAGAAACATACCTAAATGCAAATGAAAATAAGTGATTCTTAAAGGTCTATTTCTCAGGTTCTATATTTTCGTTCAGATAATTCATAATTATGCAATAATTTACTGTGAATGATAAAACAACTGCTGATTGATGCTGGCTCGATGAAGCACGTGCATATTATGCTTTTGTTGAGTAATTCTAATTTGAATCACGCTGTTCCTAATCCACTTTGTATTTGGAAGTTCACTGCATATTTGAGTTCGGCTGCAAACTCTTCCTAGGAAAGCTCCGAGAATCTGTTTCCCAACTGGTTTCCGACACTGTTGCTCGCGATTACTTGCGACCGACTGGTAGTATGGAGTATTTCTATTTTTGTGCCCGTAATCACTTGTAGATCGCGGATACTCCTTTTTAACTGGAAAAATGCTTTTGTCCATGGAAGTTTTCGGTAGTCCACGAAAGTATTGACGGAGTCCACGGGAGAAGCAAAACTTCGATGTGGTGTCCATGAAAGTAGGGCTTGTCCACAAAATTATGAAGAGTTTTGAAAACTGTCCGCGGCAGTAATTCTCCCACTTGTCCCACAAATTCTCAAACCGACCCACTCTCTCGATGCAACACACCCCCACAATCCACAGCGAAGGCTTGTTTGAAACAACTTGCCCATTCGCATCGCGTGTCAGATGTTCAGTACGGTACTGCGATTTAATGCGCGGCACAGCTCGCTAATGTACGATACAGCGCGTTTTTAGAGTCACAACGTACGCTCCAGTTGTGAAGTGTACAAGTGCGACTCAACTGTGGCATGAGGTTTCCCAGGACAACTGCCTGCCACCAGCTTTGGAAATTGGCTTTGGAAAGCGGACTCACCCGGCCTAGATTTGCGACCAGGGTCATTGTCAGTCGAAGCGCCCTGCCGTTGCCCACCGTACGTGCAGCAGAGCCTTATCACTTATCCCAAACCTAACCAGTGATAAGCTCCCTTACACAGCCAAACCAAGTCCGCTGTACAGTATATAACCAGGCCCGCAACAAGACACCTTATCAGCCATCGAACGATTGTCGGTTTCGGAATTCGAACCTCAAACTTTGCAGCCTACCGTGGTTTCTGTCGTCCAACCTTCGCGATGGCGTTTCCTGGGAGCCTGACCTTATTGCTTGCGCTGTGCAGCCTTCTGCACCTGGCAGAGGGAGCGAACCTGCCCCCTGGTGGATGCCACACCCGCTATGTATGCCCCTACATTGACGATCTCGCTAACGCAACTATTACGCAGTCAACCTACACCAGTTACAATTTTCTCGGTTACTACCAGGGGCAGTTCAACGACCAGGGCGGGCAGTACACGCCATTTCAGCGCGGGTCAGGCCCCGTGAACTACGAGCGGTACACAGAGGTTGGGACTGTTTTCGACGTGGTGAAGGGCGTTTACGGCGACACGCTGCAGGAGTGCTGCCGCGCGTGCGCTCGCGCCACCTACTGCTACGAGTGGCACTGGTTCAAGAAGTACGTATCTCTTGGTGAAACTAGGGCTGCAAAGTACATCGCGCTTTCGATGTCAGTTCGGAACAAAGTCGTTCGTGAACACGAGCTTCCCCTTGACAGTTCCAGCTTTTCTGAACCTTGCATTTCTGCCTCGCTTCCGTTCTGCAGCCCTCGTCTAACTGGCGAAAATGCGAACGTGGCGGGATTCATCGACCGCGTCCAGTGCTACTTGCTGGAGAAGAATGGTGGATCCGGCACGTCGGGAGACTACAAAACCCCGTACGCCGGCGACGCGACGACGCAGACGGCGAACGCGGCGTCGTACCCTCTGAGCTTCGTCGGAGGGCTTTGCAACGGTACCGCTCTGATAGAAAACGACCCGCATCTCACGGGCGCCCGCGGCACGCACTACGATTTCACGGGGCAGCTCGACAAGTCTTTCTGCCTCCTCTCCGACCGTCAGTTTCACGTGAATATGCTTCTTAACGGGTACCAGGGCGCTCCGCCCGCACTTCCCGCGTCGGCATCGTCAATTAACGGCAAAGATTCGAGCACGGAGCTGCACACGTGGATTAAGGAGCTCGGCGTCGTTTGGATGACGGCCGACGGCGCAAACCACACTCTGCGCATCGTGGCGCGCAAGGGGAAGCAGCAGGAGCGTGGGTACGGCTTCGTTTCGCGGATTGAGATCGACGGAAAAGTGACTTCGCTGCCAAGCGTTGGCGAAACGATTGCGACGGAAAGCGGACTGATGGTTACCAAAGTCGCGGAGGAGAAGGAGGGACCGTTCGATGTGGATCAGTTTCAGGTGCGTGTGGTGGGGCTGGGGGAACTCGACGTGCGCGTGCGCGTGGCGCACCCGCTGCTGCAGACTCCGACGGAGGCTGAGGCGCACATTAACGTCGAGCTGTCCGACGTCCAGATGACGTCAGCCGTGCACGGCGTGCTCGGGCAGACGTTTAGGAACACGCCGGACATCGCAAAAAAGTGGCAATCTAAAAACCATTCGAGGTGGAGCGAGGATGCCGACTATCTGCAGAACATTCAAATACCATTCGCAGAACGTTCGCGTAGCATTTGGCAGGGTGTAAATGTAAAATGTATGTTTTGCAAAAGCTACGATTTCTAAACCCTATGATTTCAAAGCGATAAGCGTCTGTCCAATCGTAGTACACTCCTGTGTTTTTTTTGTTATGTTCGAACGTAATTGTTTATGTATGGAATATATCATGTGTGGGAAATAAAAATGATAGGGTTTGTTGCTATATTATTAGTGGGGTCATCACCTGCTGCGAGCACTGTGAATGGTTGTCGCTGCAAACTAAAAGTATCATGCTCAGTACGAGTCACTCAATTGTCAACCTCTAAGACAAGGTCAATTTAAACAAAGTCATGCATAAATAAGAGCGCAACCGGTGGTTCAGAAAAGAAACCGGTTAACGAGCCGGTACTTCGGGTCCGTGCAGCACGGAACCACATGTGCAAGGCTCAGGATGCTGTCCACGTCCACAACGGCATAGTTGTCGATGCCCAAGGTTGGCGTCAGGCGCTTGCACCCGGTGATGGGGCAAGGCTTCTGCGCCTCGGTGTAGTACTGGATGAACGCCCCGCGCTTCTCCACCTCCCCATCCTGGTAATGGAAAAGCACCAGGACACGACCATACCACGGCTCCCCCACGCCGCCGCCAGGCCTGATCGAGACGTCAGAGAAGAGGCGCTCGTGAGGGCTCGCCTTCACGAACTGGCCCTTTGAGGTCCACTCCATGCTGTCATGGGGGGGGATGGCCATGGCTGTGTGGACCTGGGTTTAGGGTAGGGGGCAATGGGGGGAGTTCAGGGAAGGCGGGTGGGTGTAGAGAGGGGGCACGAGTGTGCCTTGAATTATCGTAGATGGGAGGGCAGCGCTTGGCAAGGAGGCATGGTACCATGGCACATGATAGTCATATTGTATGATTAGACGGATTGAGCTCAGGAGGGGATAGAGGGGAGACGTGGACAGAGGGGCCACGGTAGGGTTTAGGGTGTGGAAAAAAGAGAGCCCGGTCCCACCAAATTGCTGCCATTCCATGCCATTCACTGGCCAAACCCCACCAATCCCACTGGTACCGCTCCCAAGGCCCCCTCCCCGTCCCACTTGACTCATTCCTTGCTATTCCCTGACTCTCTCTCCAAATCCTGCGAGAGCTTGCTGTTCGCGGCCCTTTCCCTCCCACTCCCACTCCCATTCTCAGTGATTCCTTCCTACCCCGTTCCCTCCAATTCCCCCCCATCCCCGTGCATTCCCTCCTATTTCCTCCCATCCCCGTCCATGGCCTCCCATTCCCTCCCATCTCTGTCCATACCCTCCCATTCCATGCCATGCCCATTTATTAAATGGGACCCTAAGAGCTGAGGTAGCCAAGTAGTCAATGCAGTCTCCCATTCCATGCCATCCCCATCCATTCCCTCCCATCCCTGGGATACCCTCCCAGGCCATGCCATCCCCGTCCATTCCCTCCCATCGCTGTTCATACCCTCCCATTCCATGCCATCCCCATCCATTCCCTCCCATCGCTGTCCATACCCTCCCATTCCATGCCTTCCCAATCCATTCCCTCCCGTCCCTGTCCATACCCTCCCATTCCATGCCATGCCCATACATTCCCTCCCATCACTGTCCATTCCGTCCCTTGACCTTCCAAGCCATACCACTCCCTCCCACTCACGGCCATCTCCTCCCTGCCATAAGGTGCCCAGTCACCCTGCCACTCCCTGCCCCGCCCTCACGTTCCATCCCAATCCCCAAACCCATGCCTCAGGGTCTAGTTAACGTACAAAGATTGTCCGCGTCTTAATCTTGGCGAGGCGAAGGCGCTCCTCCAGTTCGTGCATCGCCAGCACCCCCGCGGTCCTCATGTAATTGCGGAAGACAGGATCCCGTGTGTCCCCCGCTTCCATCTTCTTGTGGGTCTTGGTGAGGACACGCTGGTTCCTCAGGGATGCCTGTGCCGTGTATGGCATTTGGAGGATGGAAGCGGCAGTGGCGTGTTAGGCACGAGGTTGTTACGGGGTTGGCTAAGGGGTAGGTCCGTCTATACACTTGGAGAAATATGGGAATAGGGCAGCTAGGGTACGCATGGAGTTCGAATCCCTCCACCCCTTTGGCCACCCATCAAACCGCTCCATACCTGCTTCATGGCCGTCTCGTACGACGCGTCGCCCCCGACCTCGCGGGTTAGCTGACGCACCACAGCGTGTTGGATGTGCTTCTTGACGATGCGCTCCCCCACATTCTTCCAGTTTGACCCGCGAGATGGCCTCTTCACTGTTGTTTTGTGTCCGTGCTCGTAGCAGTTCGATGAGTACTCCTGGGGGACGCCGCGTGCCGTGATAGAGGAGGTGACGTGGCTGACGCCATGTATCTTCACGATGTGCCACTTCGACTTCTGGTTGTCAAATGCCACCTCTAGTAAAGCCACCATCCTACTAGGGAGCGTGCACGGATGGATAGTGTGAGACGTGCAGAGGGGAAAAGGTTGCACAAACGCTTCAAAAGAGGTGACTGACACGGGGTGCGAGGAAGAGAAACTCTAAAGGGTTTAGGGTGGGGGAAGGGAACCAGGTTCTGGACAGAGGTAGAGACGAGGTAGTGGAGAAATTCCCACCCAGGGTTGAAGTGAATTTCATGAGGGAATCATCCTGGCTGGCCGTCCAACCAGGGGATGTTATATGGTGAGCTAGCACGGGAAGGGCAGACCCTGGTTGTGTGGAAGACCAGGGAGGAAGTAGGGAATTAGGGAGTGAACGGACGCACCGGATGAACAGACCCTTATTGACCTGTAGACCAGGGGAGGATAGAGGGATCAAGGGAGCGAAGGTAGGGATTAGAGTGTTAAGGGTATACCTTATTCGAAAGAAGGAACAGTGGGGGAACGACGGGACCAGAGGATGTAAGGGAGGGACCGGAACGAGTAGGGCAGACCCTGGTTACATACGTTACCTGTGGTGGACGGCGGGTCTGGGGGGATGGGCAATGTACCAAGGGAATTAGGAGTAGAGAAAGGGTTTCAGGGGGGACCATGGGGGTGAAGGAATGGAGCAGAACGGAGAAGGCAGATCCCACCTGAATGAAGGACCACGAGATTAAGGAGGGAGCAGAACGGGATGGGCAGAGTAGAAGAGTAGGAAGGGAGCAGAACGGGATGGGCAGAGTAGAAGAGTAAGGAGGGAGCAGAACGGGATGGGCAGACCCCGCCTGAATAAATGACCAGGGGATGGAAGGAGGGAGCGGTGGATGGAAGGAGGGACCAGGGGATGGAAGGATGGAGCGGGGGATGGAAGGAGGGACCAGGGGATGTAAAAGCAGGGGACCATTGTAATAGGGAAGGATCAGATGACTAGTGCACGGGGTGGGGACGATATACAGTGGAACCAAATGTCCCAGTGCGTGAGCCGACTCACTCTGTGGCGGACTCGTCCATCTTCTTGAGGCTGGAGTCGGTGTGGTACTCCGCACGTATGAACTGCTTGTACCAACTCGTTATCGCCAGGACCGCCTTGTAGATGTCGTCGCGGCCCGGAAGATACAGAATCAGCGGGAGCACCTGCATCATAGCACGGTGCTCTGATGCTGCGAAACCCGCCGTCGTAGTGAAGTACATCCACGCCCCTGGGAGCCTGAGCAGGAATGACGGCGTCACAGCCTTCAGAGCGTTGAAACGCCTGCCATGAGTGTGAGAAAGCGGGTGGGCATGGATGAGTGGTCTGGGTGGAAGAGAGCCTCCATGGCCAAGCGTGTTTGGGGCAAGAGAGAGCAACCGGGCACTACGTACTCAAGCAAGATCTTCCGCTCCTTCCTCGTCAGCTTGGCAGCCAAGCACCGCATCGCATGGAGCCAGAAGCCCTGTTCAATCATGTGCATGATGTCTGGCGGAAGAGCAAGGTAGATGTTGCCCCACGAAGTGGTTGAGAACTCCCACTTCCAAAGCACACACTGCACAGCAGACACGATATGAATGCAAAGGCAGGAATGCATGGGCATGAATGCAACGACAGGAATGCAAATACAGGAATGCAGGGGCATGAATGCAAAGGCGGGAATGCAAAGACAGGAATGCAAAGGCAGGAATGCAAAGGCGGGAAGGCAAAGACAGGAATGCAAAGGCAGGAATGCAAAGGCAGGAAGGCAAAGACAGGAAGGCAAAGATACAAATGCAAATGCAGGAATGCAAAGACAAGATTGCTTACACAGAAATGCAAGGGTTGGGATGCATGGGACTCGGTCAAAGGGCAGGAATGCAAGGGCATGAATGCAAAGACAGGAATGTTATGGCATGCGGGTACGGAGCTTACAGCAGCTTAGGAAACGCAGTGCATGGGCGACCTACAGGCACTTGGTGCGTGGACCACTTGGCCTTAAGAGCGGCCAGCTCCTTCTTCTTCTTGGCTCGTACTGCTCGCTGCATCTTCTTGTAGATGAGCTTCTGTCCCTTCACCGTGCGGTTGATAGTGTCCGGCTGGACCTTGTTCAGGTTGTCCCGATCCACAAGGCAGATGGAGCAGGGCCTGAAGGACTTGCACTGCATCGTGCAAGAAACCTTGCACCCCTCCGGGTGATCAGTCACATAGGCATAGAGCACCGGGTAGACCGTGTGCTCCCCCCCGCATGATCCACCACCTGTATCCCCCCCCTGGAAACCGCAAAAGTAGCATGCAAGGATGAGAGCCGCACTGGGGATGCTGGGGGGTACAACATAGTCGTTGCATTGCTACACGACATCTCACCCGTCAAGCTGGGATGTCTCCATGAGCGGGTTTGCCACAATGTCCAGCGCATCTTGGAAGGCGGCACACTTCTGTTCGGGGAACAGGTCACCAGGAATGTTAGGCAGATTGCCTATCATCTCCGTGCCCCCCTCCGCCCACCTTGCCCACTCCGGCGTGTTTGCGAATGCCATCATCACGGGGTGGGCTGTCTGTCGGCCATTGTTGGAGAGATTGGTTTGATCGCTGAAAAGAATTATTCCCAACGCCTCTCCACGGTCCTTGATGCGTTCCTGTAGAGCATGCATTCAATGCATGAGGGATTTGGGCTAGTAGATCACCTATGGGCTACTGACGGGTGATCTCGAACGTATGCCAGGATGTGGGTGACACGTACCTGGGCCTGCAGCATGAAATCAGTGTTCATTGCCGTGCTGTAACGCCGCACGTTGCCCACCTTCCACTGGGCAGGTTTTGTCTGAAAGCCCTGGATCGCGGACTGACGTGTGTACATCGCCTTAAGTACCTGTGGAGTTTATGGGAAGGTCGCAAAAAGGCGTGCAAGAAAGCTCGGTACGAGGGCAACGTGCATAGGACAGCATGAATTATTCGTGCACCAGGGGTCCTCACCGAGAGCACATTTCGGTGCCGAAACGTCAAGAACTCGACCTCGTGATCAACCGGGATCTCGGAGACAACCCACTCGTTCTCCTCCCCCACCTCGAATGAAGCCTCGAACCGCTCCAGGTCCCGGTGTGAGTTCCACCCCTCTAGCTGCGAAGGGTCTAAGTCTGGATCCCTAAGCAGCCGGATTGTTGCCGTGATGGCCCCGTTGCTGAATCCATGATTCCGTGACAAGATGCAAACCTCGGCCCTAGTGTCGAGCAACTCAGGCTGTTCTTCCGGATCCAACACTACCGAGTCACTATGAGCATCCTCCGCAGCCGGAGTCATATTAACATCTGGACCTGGTTCTGACAGGATGTAGGCGTCCTGCATCCCTGCCGTGGGCTGTGTGGGCAGCGGCGCGGACCCATAGTCGTGTACCTTATAGATGCCGTTTTTGTCACGCTTAACTCGTAGGCCAAAGAGAGACTTCCCTCGTGCGACGCGGTTTTGTAGTCGCCTGCATCTTTTACTTGTAACCTGATGGCTGCGCAGTGTCTGGTAACACACGAAGTAACGCTGGCAGAAACGGCACTTTTCAGCCGACATGGCAGGCGATGTCCTAACATCGCTAGAACATGCGAGGAGTAGCAGGCGGACGTGACCCAGATCTGGGAGCACAATTCGGGTTTGACCTCGGTAAGCCACGTGATCGGCGAAAGCTGTGTAGATCCATCGAGGGGTACGCCCCGCGGATTTCATGCCTCACATGCGGGGTGATCTGTCGTAATGCGTTGTTACTACAGTACAACTGTTCATGATATGTAATGGACCTATAAAATAACTGCTGGCCAATGCAGATTATACATTAAAAACGCAGCAGTCATTAATAAATCCTCTTCGCAACAG